ACACACACACACACACACACACACACACACACACACACACACAAAACACACACACTGGAACTAAATAAAATAAAGAAAGCAACAAAACAAAAGATAATAACAGAGTTTCGGGTATAATTATTCAGCACGGATGTACACGTTGTAATATAATGCCCAGGTGAGGAACATAAGCCGTCCCCCCCCTCCCCTCCCCCAAAAAACGTCTGTTTCTCTCTATCTGGCTTTTTTTTGTAAAAATGTGTAAAACCCCCCCCACGAGCATGCCTTCCAACAGGTTCTCTCTCTCTCTCTCTCTCTCTCTCTCCCTCCCCCCCCCTCTCTCTCTCTCTGTCTCTCCCACTCTATTTCTCTCTATCTGTTTTACGCCACTTGCAACACAATAAGGTCGTATAAGTGCCTTAAGATTAGAAGTGTTACAAGAGTGTAACAAACACAAAGAAGGAGGAGAGACAGGAAAGAAGAAGCAAACCACACCATAGCACCCGCCAACCACCTACAAATTGGTATATCTCCAAAAGACAAAAAACAAACAAAAACAAAACAACAACAACAAAAAAAGTTAAAAAAAACAACATAAAACATAGAGTTGCCACACAATTGAAGACAGAATTGAGGGAATTGATAGATAGATAGATAGATAGATAGATAGATAGATAGATAGATAGATAGATAGATAGATAGATAGATAGTTTAGTTTTAGTGAGGTTTTACGGCGCTCGCAACGTGATTTGGGCGCCAAGGAGTGGATGTCAACAGAGAAGTCCAAACGGGGATTCAGGCTTACTCTGCTCACCTCTCCAGCCTCAACAGCACCAAGTCTTCTTCGACTATCAAGGCACCCCGGAAATAGCAGTTCACAAGAGAGTGACAAAAATACAAAAGAAGTAGAGGCAAAATGACGATAGTAAGGATGAGGAAAGAAAAAGCAGCAATTCCCCATGTTGTTCCGGCACAGTATGAGCATGACATTGATAAATCAGTTCATTTACAGTTCTACTGTGCATAAGAACATGTTCATATCCGCCCTTTGGGAATGGCCTAAAGACAACTTAGGTCAGTAGCACTGCCCTGGTGGGGGGAAGATAGCCATTGGAAGGGGGATGGTAACAAATTTCTAAAGAAAAAAAAAAGAGAGACAGGTAGACAAAAGAGATATACATAGGAGAAAGAAAGAGGAAAAGATGAATGCAAACGCAAAGTTTGTGAGAATGTGGGAGAAAGAGTGAGGGAGATATA